AAGCCCTCCCACTGTTGACCCCCCCAAGCACCAAGAAGACAGAGCATCACTTGCCCCAGAGCCCCTGTCTATACCTTGTGGCTAATAGCCACTGATGGACCTCTGCTCCATATGCTTATCTAATTCCCTTTTGAAGCCGTCCATGCTTGTAGCCGCCACCACTTCCTGTGGCAGTGAATTCCATGTGTGAATCACTCTGGGTGAAGAAGGACTTCCTTTTATCCGTTCTAACCCGACCGCTCTGCAGTTTCATGGAGTGCCCACGAGTTCTTGTATTGTGAGAAAGGGAGAAAAGTACCTCTTTCTCTACCTGCTCTTTCCCATGCATAATCTTATAAACCTCGATCATGTCACCCCTCAGCCGTCTTTTCTCCAAGCTAAAGAGTCCTAAACTGAACGGCTGAACTACCGACCTTCCACAGCCTGCAGTTCAGCGTCTTAACCACTTGAGCCACCGCTCAACTGCACCTCATATGTTTGTCAGGTCTGGCTTGCTCAAAAGAGGGGAGGAGAAAGAAGCTTGGATATGGGGATGGGGGGCTGCCCAGTGGGAGACTGAGGGGGGGGGGACACAGAGACACGTGCTGTGACGCAACAGCACGATGTCACTTCCGGGCAAACCTGGAAGTGATGTCACAGCCTTGTGTCGACGGGTTTTTTTTTTTGCTTCCTTTTCACCCCCGCCGGCTTACTGAACAGCAGTGGGGGTTGAGGGGGGTGGGTGTCGCCAGTGGGAGGTCGCCCACCACAGCGGGAGACCTAGCAACGCTACGTCGTGAACAAAGCCAGGTCTGTCGTTTGCTAGATGAAATCAGCAGACATTGTGAATAAAGCATCCAAACCCTCCAAACATCAAAACATTCCCCCTCTCTCCCACACACACACACACACACACTGTTTCCTTTAGTAATCAAAGCAGCATCACTGCCTTACCTCACGGATGTCGAGCCTTTACCTGCAGAGAGAAGAAACACGCGTCAGTTAGGAAGGCATTTCCCTGGACTTCTGTCAACCCCTGCTCTGCTACAGACACAGATTCGGCTGACAACTGGAGGTGAGTATTGGGATTCCCAACGGAGAGAAGAAGAAGTAGATTGGATGTATACCCCGCCCTTCACTACCCGAAGGAGTCTCAGAGCGGCTTACAAACTCCTCTCCCTTCCCCTCCCCACAACAGACACCCTGTGAGGTAGGTGGGGCTGAGAGAGCTCTTTCGAGGACTGCTCTTTTTCAAGAACAGCTCTTATCAGAACTATGGCTTGCCCAAGGTCAGCCAGCCAGGTGCAAGTGGAGGAGTGGGGAATCAAACCCGGTTCTCCCAGATTAGAGTCCGCGCGCTTAACCACTACACCAAACTGGCTATCTTATACCCTGCCCTTCACTACCAAAGAAGTCTCAGAGCGGCTTACAAGCTCCTTTCCCTTCCCCTCCCCACAACAGACACCCTGCGAGGTAGGCGGGGCTGAGAGATCTCTTGACAGATATGGCTCTCTTTCCAAGGACAGCTCTTATCAGAACTACGGCTTGCCCAAGCTCATCCAGCCAGGTGCAAGTGGAGGAGTGGGGAATCAAACCCGGTTCTCCCAGATCAGTCCGCACACTCAACCACTACACCAAACTGGCTCCGGAAGCCTCCAGGAATGTCGCAAGATCCCTCTGGTGAAGCAGGCCTTCCCCCTCCATCTCCTGCTCAAAGCCCCAGAAGTGGTCCCTGCCAAGACTGGATTAACCACAACGCTAAGTCAAATACAAAGCAGAGCTCTGAAGTTTCAAATGATGGGCAGCCTTGGTGTGAACGAGTGCGCCCTCTCGGGTTGGCCGATGCCGAGCTGGGATATTCCTAGAGATTTGGGGATGGAGCCTGGGGAGGGTGGCATTTGGAAAGAGGAAGTTTAGCAGGGAAGTGATGTCATGGAATCCATCCTTTGAAGTTGCCGTTTTCTCCAAGGGCATCTCTCTAGTCTCGAGATGGCTTGTAATTCTGGGAGACGTCCAGGCCCCACCTGGAGGCTGGCAACCAGTCTTCCCTCTGAGTCAGTGTGAGCTAGCTCACACTTTTTAAGCCTCCGGCTCACACATTTTTAGCTCAGGAAGGATGGGGCTCCAGAGCCAACTAATTTACGCAGCAGCCCAATCGCTCGCTCACAATTTTAATGCCGGTAGCTCACAAAGTAGGATTTTTGCTCACAAGACTCCAAAGCTTAGAGGGAGCATTGCTGGCAACCCTAGTGCCTTCTGTGTTCTGGATTTCCTGTTCTGAACTTTAGTTTGGAGCTTCCCAGCTGCACCCTACAGGAGGGGCCTGCTCCTTTAATAGGCCACTTCCATCGCTGCTGCAGATAGGTGCCCGGTGACTCTTGCTTATTATGGCAACCAAAGAAGAACAGGGCCAAGGAAGCAGTTCGATTCCTGGTCAATGTTCCCTGTAAGCTGTGGAGTCTGGTGAGCAAAAATTCTACTTTGTGAGCCGCTGGCACTAAAGTTGTGAGCAGGCAACTTGGCTACTGCCTAAATTAGTTTGCTCTGGAGCCATCCTTCCTGAGCCGAGACAAAAAATGTGTGAGCTGGAGGCTAAAAACCTGTGAGCTAGCTCACACTAACTCAGCTTAGAGGGAACACTGCGTCCTGATGCCTGTACAGCACGGACGTCAGTGGTGCTAGAATGCACACGGAGCATTTTACTCCCATGCCCTGTCATTCCCTGGTTCCCTTAAATCACCACCTGATTTTGATTCAGTTCTTCTACATTCAAGAACGCTGGGCGATTTTACCCTGTCTTGGAGCAGATGCCAGGTGTAAAGTACTGGGTTTGCCGCAAGGGAGACTCGGACCACGACATGAGTTCTGACGCGTTTATTATACTTCATAAGAAGACTAACTAAAACGGCCCTGCAAGGCCAACTATATACACTCCCCCCCCCGGCAATGTTCCCGCTAAGCTATGGAGCTCTGTGAGCAAAAATTCTACTCTGTGAGCTACGGGCATTAGCGTTGTGAGCAGGAGATTTGGCTGCTGCATAAATTAGTTTGCTCTGGAGCCCTCCTTCCTGAGTGAAGACGGAAATGTGTGAGCCGGAGGCTAAAAACCTGTGAGCTAGCTCACACTAACTCAGATTAGAGGGAACACTGACCCCCCGGTACACCTATGGTCCCATTGGAGGGTTTGAATTTCCCGCCGAGGTTCTATTGGTGGACTCGAGGTGGACTAGGATCCTAGGTCCCCTTTGTGTTTGGGGACCAAGCTCCTGCTTAGCTGCGGACCCCTGGTGGCGGTCCGCGTGCATAACACCAGGGTATCAATCAACCAAGCAAGAGGGCGACTTGCCTTGTCCCTTCTCAAGAAAGTCGGGGAAAGGCCTCTCCATCGTTCTCTGCCATCTCTCGGGGTTATTGATTACACTTTCCAAACAAGTTATATTCCCCAGCTGACAGATTTCAATTCTGTTCTAACACTGATGAATGTTTTTTGTTGATCACAAGGACATCTCCGCTACGATACTTATTAAAAACCGTCAGTGTTTATTCCTCTGGGAAATGAGTGATCATTCCTATCACGTCCATACGGGCAGACAGAGGACCCATTCACACACTCGAAAGGCTGTGCTTGGTTACTCGCGGCCAGGGCTCTTTTTGTAGAAAAAGCCCAGCAGGAACTCATTAGCATAATAGGCCACACCCAACAGCAGGAACTCATTAGGATTGGCTACATTAGGGG